ATTATTTTATAAACTGAAAAAAAAATAATAATCAACATTATAGTACCTATTATATTTTTTTCAATACAAATCATAGCGACGTCGACAATAGTCCGTGTTCCCGAGGGCAACTATTGCCCGTTAAAGGGTTTTAATACCCGACTAATATTAAGAGAGGATGTCATATACGTATGTGTTGTCTCCGTCTTACAAGGGCGTAACATAATAGCAATTATGCTCAGCAAATCACGTTTAGCTCCAATAGTTTTAAAATTAGAGTGAATTGAACTCTTATAAAATTTAAAGTTAACATTATTGTAAACGTGTTGTAAGTATTTTAAAATTGTAAATTGTTTGTACATCTTAAGATATTTATAACTCACTTCAAAATGAAAATATATTAAAAAGCCCATAGGGTTGTCTAAATAATACTCTTATCTGTTACCTTTAAATTTTATAAGAGGTCAATTCACTCTAATTTTTAAACTAACGGAGTTAAACTGCCGAGCATWAAATTCGTTATGTAACTTACTTGTAAGACGTAGACCACACATCACGTCCTCTTAAGATAATAATAATTGCATATTATGATGGAGTGGTATTTAAAAATGATTTTTTTTGCTAAAATATTGAAAAATGACTTGTGATTCCATAAAATGCACTGTCCTTCATAAAAATAGTATAAAATAAATAGGTACTAAGTAGGTATAGTTTAATCAATTTGTAAGTAGGTATTGTACTAATTCCAAATTATATAGAGAGCATTACTACCTACGCAACATTTTCATACAAACATTGTTATTAAAATACATTTTTCATGATTGACAAAATTTATCATTTACCTAAATATAATATTTTTTTCTAGATAAATGATATAATTTATTATTATTATTTTTTTCTTAACTAAACTTTTACCCATCTATCTTAATAATTTTTAATTATTGTTCTAGTTCTAATTAAAATATTTTAATACATAATTTTGTTGGTCAACTTAGTAGGTATAACCGTATAAGACACACATATAATATATATATATATATATGTATATACCCACCTAGTAGGTACCTACATAATTAGTAACTATACCTAATACTTAAAAGCTTAAGTTTTATTTTACAATAAAATAAATTGATAAAAATCTAAGTACCTATACCATTTTAAGTATTTTATGGATACTATCAAAATTGTTTTTAAATATTGTACTTTTAATACATTGTTAATTCTATTTCAATTTTATAATGTACCTACTTTAATAAATATGTATTATATTAATATATTTTACTAGAACCTATACTGGAACTATTACTGAAATTTGTTTTTTATAACAAATTTACTTATAGTGTTTTCCATATGACTGCACCAGTGCGGTTAGTTGCACGTAAWGCGTRCAAATGATAACACACATAATCTTGCTCAGTGCAGTCAATTTAAGGAGCATCTGAAACATAATTCAGCAAATGATTATGATGATATCAATTATTTCATTTTTGATAACTAACAATCTATTTTAAATTTTCCATTGYCAGATTGATTTGCTATTTCATCTCGTGAGTCTGTTGAACTTAATTAATTGAAAATTGAAATTAATTCTTGCTCTGTCTACTCTGCTCTCTTACTACGCGTAGAAGTGTGAAGACATTATCATGGCCCAAACTAACAGTCACTTTAATTTAAAAGTAGCTAAAGGTGAGTAAGGTGACCACTCGTACTGTTTCATGTTAGAGCCATCAGCCATTGATTTCATTATTCAAGCTGGTAAGTATATGAAATTGTTTTAAAGTCATTAACATTTAAATTTGGTGCTGCTCGAATATRCAAAATCATATTATAATATGTAGATTGCATATCTGAGCAGCAATAAAAAAAATGATAAAAGATAAAATACCGTATATTGTACGGTCGTTGTCTGTTTTATTATTAAATAAATAAAAATTACACATGTCTTTAAAAATGTATTATGTTAATATGATTATAGGGCCTAGTAATAGTTTACCAACAGTTCTATCTTTTTTGCAAAGTTGTATAGAAAATGGCTCAATCAATATGAACATTAATGAGCTGTATGATGAAAAAACAAAACTTCATATTTCAATTCCTGAAAGGTAAAATTAAAAATATATTGTAGTAAATTGTAGTACCTACCTAATTAATATTTAAAAATTTTTAAATATGGTTAGAGTACAACAGGGGGTACAATAAATATTAAATTCAGTATTACATATATTTCTATTTTGTAGAACCAATTTCATTGACTTTTCATTACCTTTACTATACTCATTTTAATAATTCAGAAAATTACCCTGTGTGCGTGGCTTTTATTGATCCTTTATTGAAAATGTTTACGGTAATTAATATTATAATTTTAGAGACTTACATTATGAAGTACCCATCAATACCTCATCACTTTCACATTGTAATATAGAGAGCAACTCCGAACATCATACTTCTAAGGACTCATCAAACAACAATAGTAAGTAAATGTTAATAATGTACCTACGCTAAAACTTAATGAAAGAGTAATTGTAAATTACTATGTTTGTCATTTTTGCTGCTGTTGAAAGTTGAAGCTTAGATGGACCAATAACTTTAGTATTAATATAAATAAATAACACGATAATATGATTATGTATAAGTATAATATATAAGTAAAATACAACTTGGACAATTATTTGTGACTATACACACTGTATGACGGTGTCTGTGTAAGTGGTTTTTACATACATTGAAAGGCCCTATATATAGAGTGATTCATTTAAGTGGGTACACTAATTATCTCGAAAAGTATTAACTTTTTTTCTAGGTTTATGTTTTTCTAAAACCGTATAATATTAAAAAAAATTCCACCCTTATATTTATTAGTGAGACCACTATCAACTTTTGATTTTCAAATGGTAACATATATTAAAAATATCATGAATTAATAATCCCATTTTTATTGTGAATTAACGCGTTAACATTTTTATTTTTCGTTGATTCGTTTGCGAGATACAGCTCCTCAAAATATTGGTTATAAATAGGAAAAAAATTACATGTACTTAAGTGTGAGTTGAACAATAAATATAATTTTTATTGTATTGTTTAGATGACAAAGTAATATCTACACAGAATCAGAAAGCTACAGCATTGTGGACTGATGGAATAACCAGATTTATGCTTGAAAGGTATGCCAAGTGGATGAATTTTATTGGGCCAATGAAAAAGTTCAAAAAAAAAGTTGATATGTGGAAGCAAATAGCAACAGACATTGACAATGAACTTGGAGTAAAATTTTCATTTATCCAAGTTGAAAATCGCTACAAAACCGTTTGTAAAAGAAAGAAATCAGTAATAAACAATAATAGGCAAACTGGCGCATCTCGCATGGATGACACATTTGAATGTGAATGGAATCAAATTACTAATAATGACGATAGCATTCTTCCGGAAGTTTTACGTAATACTACAAATGTTGTGATAAATAAAAAAGATTTTGAGAACAACCCAAAAAAAATAAAAAAGAATCTCCGCAATTATTATTATTAGAATTTTTAAAAGATAAAGAAATTCAAAAAGAAAGAAGACACCAGGAAAAAATGGAATTAATTAAACAACTTTTTGAAACATAGTCAATATTTTATACATTATTAAAAATTATTTGTTGTATTATAAACACAAAATAGTATTAATTATATTTTTCATTATTTTTTAGTTGTTAAATTTATTCATATGAGTTGATTTTTTTGTTATGATCTGTATTAATTTTTTTTATGTTAATGATTAAATACATAAATGTTACA